TATTTTTCAAACCTCATTTTCAAAACTCAACAAAACAAACACTTCTAACAAGCCTGCACTCAGCACGTGCATTGCACAAAAGTTGAAATGGTAACTTATTTTGTGTGATAAAGTTAAGTCTATCAAAATTTATGCATGTGATGGAATATGAGACCAGCTGCGCCAACACAAAACAAAAACGGTATGATCGAAAAATGTATTGGATATGTGTAAATTTCAGTACAAGAGATAAATGCAGTGCATTGAAAAAATATTCTCCTAGACGTGTCTTTGTTAGACTATGGTCATGTGCTTTGAATCATGTGCTGTGCTGTGCTATATATGACAGTGTTGTAACGTGTGCTGTTGTAACAAAACCAGCAACCAGATCAGATCCAACACGTCGAATATATTGAAAAAGAAATCAGACTGAAACAACGACAACGAAAAGACGGCGAATACATAATTGAACGTGAAGTAAAGATGCAGCGTTATGCATGTACAGTGGAGTAGTAACGTGTTTTGTGCAACGTGTGCATTTAATGTTATTGATTGCTCAAGATGCTAGACGGACTGTACTGGACCATTTTGTGCACACCTCACTTTGGTGTATTTACTCTCATTCGAATAGTCCATCGTCAAGCATCTATCTACAGCGCAAAATTTCTGTCTGCTGTACAAATATTCGCCAATCATTTCATGTCGAGGTTTTAGTTTGTCTCTCTCTATCTCTGGTCTAAAGCAGCACAATTAGTGACTGAAGAAGAATGAAACTGTTGAGTAACTGCAAGAATAATAGTCAGTCAGCTACCTTACCGAGCTATGACCAAATTAAGTAAGTTTTATTTGTGGGTGAAGAAATAAATTTTACTCTGATTCATTTCAATGTCGCAAGACGTTTCCGTGTTCCTGGAACTCGTGATTACATAGATTATTGACTGAATAAATTCATGTTTACCGATTTAAACTAAGCTGGGTTTATTCGTGAGTAACGGCTTTACTTTGTGCTGAACTTACGCGACTTTGGCAGCGAGATTTACTAAGCGCACTGAAGTTTGTTTAGTTCCCAAATTATCTTCACCTTTTATTTTTTCACTGCAGACGAATATCTTGTCTTATCTTTTCATCCGTGAGTTACTTCAATGTTCTCGACTATCTGTTTGCTGTAAGTTATAATTTTTTCGAGATTAAAGTTTCCGAGAAGTGTTTGCGTTTGAGATTTTTGTATACAAATGATATTTAAGAAGTGGCGTATTTTTCTTCGAATCACGCTAAACCAACAGCGACTTTTAGGCAGGCAAATGTATAGAGAACATGAAGATTGACTGTTGTGTTTAAAAATGATCGGGAGGCAAGGTTAATACTTTTCGTAATATTTAATCGGAAGTAGGATTGTTTGTCAAGAAATAGCAAACGACTACATGCGAGTGCCTGGATAGATCTATACCTCTATACCAACTAGAACCGCAGGGTAGAGTGCTATTTTCCAAATGCCTTGAGGCGGAGTTGACGTCACGCCATGTCAACTGAAGTAATCACATGACAATGGACTCTCCTCCTCCTCACGGAAATCTTAATCTCAATTTTGAGGCGCCAGCCGTTCCACAGTTACTGCTGTGCACATGGATCGGAAGCTGTTCTGATTTGTGTCCCAGCTTTACATGGTATGGTATGGTACCAGGTCTGATATGGTATAGTATCTCTATGTAGAATACAATAGCCGAAGCGCGGCTGCTATTGTGGCATGGGTATTGCGTATGGACAGGGCGAAGGGAGAAAACAGGAGGAACGACTTAGATCGATCGATTGCAACCGTTCTAAATTGACTTGGATCCTCTTTTCTCTTCTCTTTAGTCCACTTCGTGTGCCTCTAACAGTCGCCTTCCAACCGAGTGTTGCAATTGCAATGGGGGACACTTACTTCCTTCCCTCCCTCAGTTCCCTTCCCATTGCACTACTGACTTGTAGGCAAAAGCAGGCACGTAGAGATAGGTATAATGTGTTCCATATTCTGTCTATCTGCCTGCGGAGACTACATAGTAGCAGTAGAAGTACTACTTGCTCCGTGTATATAGGGGAATGATTGCATTACATTTGGAATATAATCAAGCGAATATTTCCAATGGAATCAGACCATAGTGCATTATTAGCGTAGAGCAAGCGCCTCTGTCCTTTAGCTGTAGCTACCTACAACTGAATGTTGCTGAGCATGAATTGACGGCACAACACACAATCGAACAGCGAAAATCCGCGTGCTACTATGCTAACGCACAGCTAACTTTTTGCAAATCCAAACAGGGACGTGTGTTAGGAAAAATTCTTTTCTGTTGCTGTTGTGTGTGGTGGCGATAGTGTTACTCGTGCTTCGCTTCCATATTCCCTCCTGCCTTATTCTTCCTGCCATGTTCTCTTAGCCGCGTCTTGTCTTCAGCAGTAATATCAAATACAAATAGCCCACAAAGCAATATGCATACGTTCTATAAAACAGCCACACTTATGCACTGCAACTACACATAATAACTGAACACAAAGCCAAATCAAGCCAACCACTATCTATCCCATCTTCCATTCACTAAAGACGGCTGCAATTTCTGGCCATTTTATTGTTCCTTCTGCAGTTTTTGCCGTTTTTGTTGCTGAATTGAATAGAAAACGAAAAGCTTTGTGTTGAATGGATACCAGCGCCACGTCGTACTATTTCCGTGCTGAGTTTTTCTCTTGCTCACTGTGATATAAAAATATAAGTTCCAAACTGCTGTAGAAACTGTTTTTATAGTAGCTGCAAACTATTTCCTCTGTGCTAAAGAATTTTTTCAGTTTAAAAACTTGCGCAACAGACATCAACCAATTATGGAGCTAAAACCAGATTAACTCATGTTACCGTCTCTATCATCTTTGGTGGAATGGCTAAATAAGGTATGACTCACGAAAGTTTTTTTGAAAGTTTTCCAATTTATAACACTTGCGAGAGCAAGTGCCTTATCGGAAACTAAACCTTACTTTCATACACATTCTTCTCTTTATTCGCTTCTCTTCTCTATAATTGACCAACGCCGTCGTCTTTCCAGTTACGCCATCGCCGTTAACCCTAAAGCCTGGGGTTCGAGTCGTCGTGGCCAGACCTTGTTTTTTTTAGGTATGTAAGCAATTGAAATTTTTTTCGTTTGTCTGCTCAATTTTTGTTAAGTTGTCACATCGCGATTATTTGTTTGTACTTTAAGCATCTTTCATTGCAATTGCAGGTGATGTTCATTCTAGTTTCACAGGAGGACTTCAAAGAATTAGTTTTTTTTATCAATTCTTCGGTTCAAGTGGTAGCAGCTAAGATCGTCGGTTTAGTTGGCATATCAATAATTTTTCTTGTGCTGTAAGCAATTTTCATTGTTGTTGCAAGTGTTGCTCTTTGCAGTTTCAAGTAAGACGCAAAACTAAGAAAATTAAAAAAATTCTTCGTTTTCGGCTTGTGTCTACTCAAAGGTTGTCGGCGTTGTTTCCTCTTTTTTGTCTGTTTTGTTTCGTTGCTGATTTTTTATTCAAATGTCTGGCATGTTTGTCTGGAATGAAGTTCTATCAAAAATTTTTTCGTTTTCTCAGCTTGTGTCTTCTCAAAGGTTGTCGGCGTTATTTCCTCTTTTTTGTCTGTTTTGTTTCGTTGCTAATTTTTTATTCAAATGTCTGGCATGTTTGTCTGGAATGAAGTTCTATCGGGACAAACGAAATTTTAAATTTTGGTAGACCTAGTTTTTACGTGCTCCTTATCTGACATATATGATCAATTTCTCATTTGAATCCAGAATTTTTCTCAATTTAAACACGCCAAAGTAATACCAGTTCATAAAGGTGATAGTAGTATGGATGGAAAGACTTACCGTCCTATTTCTCTGCTAGTCAACTGTAGCAAAATTTTTCAAAAACAAATGTATTCGCGAACTTCTAGTTATTTGGAAAATTTTGGCCTAATTTATAAGAAGCAATTCGGTGTTCGTGAAGATTCGTATCTCGTTCAATGTTGAGTTGCAAATTCTCTGTTGACCTAAGAAAAGTTTTTGATACTCTCGGTCATGAAATCTTGCTGATTGAATTTGAACTAAATGGAATCAGGGGTATTGGTCTTGAATGGTCAAAAAGCTATCTATCGGATAGATGCCTATGTGCTTCAAGAAAATCAAATCTGACCGTGGAGCAAAGCTTCTCAACGTTTTCTGCAAAAATCGTTTAACACCGGATAATTGTGGATAAATGAACTATGTCTGCAAATTCGTTTTTGTTCAAATTAAAAACAATTACATTCTAGAAAATTCAAAACTTTCCTGCTTTTTATTTAATAATTCATTCAAGTTTTTTTTTTAACCTGGAAGCTGTCGGGTGCTATAAGAAGGGTTGCGAATCTATCTTGAATAAATGGCCTTCTGAATTTTTCAAGATATCGATGTTTTTCGATTTTTCTGACGAGAAAAATAACTTAGAGGGAAAGGAAAAAACATTCCCCTTTCATCTTAGAAAGCACAAATTTACAAAATGCAACAGAATGTTCATAAACTATAAAACATACCTATTCAATTTTGTGCTTTCTAATGCCTACAAAAAATTAGGAAAAGAAAAGAGGGAAAACTAAAATTATTTAAAAGAGAAAAAAGGATTATCATATCCATATTGCTCTGTTATTTGCAATTGAAGATAATGAAAAAAGAATATGTGGATTTAATTGCGTGTAATTTCTTTTGATGTATCTTATGTATAATGGAGAAATACATTCTTCTTTTTGAAATTCGAAAGTTGACCTAATGTTCCTAAAGTAATGTTTTTCTGTTTCTTTGTGTTCATCGATTCTTTTCTAACCGTATGTTAGCTATGTTTTGCGCTGAAAACAAAACAAAGAAAAACAAAAAAGCAACTAAAACACACTCGAATACAAAGTTCCTCCCTACGTTCAGTGGTCGGAGCGATAATTTTTTCTTCATTGTGGTCAGAACTTGCTCAGTAGCCGACAACTCATGTTAAATTGTAAATTTTTGTTGTAGTGCGCCAGGAGCGCGAGCAGCAGAACAGAATGGGAGTGGCAGCTAATTTCCAGGGAGGAATAGCAGTGCCGAACAACAGATACGACCCAGGAATTGGAATAGGGGGACAACAGCCCGCTCAGTTGATGGGAATGCCTATGCCCTCCGAGCACCAGCCACCCCAAGGTGTCAACGAATTGGACCCAAAATGCTCGAGGACTCTGTTCATCGGCAATGTGCCACGAGAGATTGAAGAGACGGACCTGTACAAGATATTCAGGAAATACGGGAAAATTCTCGTAAGCACATCATATACTATTTTATAAATTATCGAAACTACATAAAATACGTGGTAGAACAGTCGAAAATATTGTGTCGTTTAGGATATTGATGTAAAGAGAATGCAATATGGAGAGGTCACCTACGCCTTTGTGCAATATGCCCATTTGATCACGTGTGTCGAAGCAATCAATTGTGAGGAAGGTCGCAAAATTGGCCCCTACAGGTGCAAGGTAAATCAAATTTTGAAAAGCAGCAAAGATTAATGGGAATGTACCAAAAAGCAAAAAAAAATGCAGTTTGTTTCAAAATATTAAAATGGATTTTTGTAGACCAATTTTGCCAAGACGACTCCCTCTGCATGTCTGTGGGCGAGTGGATTGCCAGAAGACGTGAACAAGATGAACTTGAAGAGACATTTCTCAAGGCCCCACCCAGTCAGCTACTTCGTCTTCGACCAGAAGCTGGGAGAGGCCCTCATCTATTATCAAGATGTGAACTCGGCCAGCGAAGTGCTCGCAACAGTCAAGACCAAGAAGATCGACAATACAAGACCATACGTTAGTACATACCCCTTAACTTCTTCCTATTTACACGAGAAGAAGAGTATCAGTATTGCTTTAAAATCAAAAATTCTATTGCAAGCTTTTTTACTAAAAGATTATCACGTAGTCAGATTATAACGAGTTGTTTGGCGTCCAATTGAAGATCTGTTCAGGTCGACTTCTCCAGCAAAGAACATCAAGACTACATCATGAAGTGCATGAAAAACAAGGGTGACGGTGGTACCCGCTATAGCTGCAGTCCATCTCCCAACAGAGGCAGAGGTTACAGCAACTCCCCCATGCGCCGAGACAACAGACGCCGATCCCCCTCTGATAGCCCCCCCAGAGGCGGAGGAGGCCCTGGCACGAGGGGTTCACCGCAAGGCGGTGGACCCGGACGGTTTTCCCCTAGCCGGCGGCATGGCTCTAACAGTAGCAATCGGAGCTCGAGGTCACCTTCTAACAATGGAAACGTCGGAGGACGAGGTGAGATTTCTTTACGAGTGTTCAGCTTTTGAATAATGTTATCTAAATTTCACAGTACTTTCACAGTACTTGTTTTTGTTTAAGAAAATGCAAAGCACTACTCAAAGACGTTTAGTGTATCCAGAAGATCCCTTCAAAACAGCAGATCTAGATCTCCTTCGAAGACCTCAAATTACAGTGGCGGTATGAAAAGCAAAGGACGTCATGAGTCACAAAGCAGTCGGAGCAGCTCTCGGTTGAACAGATCGCCGAATACAAAGACCAAAAAGTACGAAATGAGTTCATCTAATGACGAACACGAGTGGAAGAGTAGCAAGAAAAGTAAAGAGAGAAAGGAGAAAGAAAAGGAAGCTAAAGGAGGTTCCAGCAAACTGACAAACGGAGGAAGTCCCAAGAAACCGACTCTCTCAGTTCCACCCTTTAGGCCGAGTGTGCACCTGTCCAGCAGAAGCACATCGAAAAGCAATAACGAGAAGAAATCGAAGACGAAAGAGTGCAAGTATCTGAAGTCGGAGCGAGGTGTAGTAAAGAATGAGATTCTGTCGGAAGGAGATGTGGAAAATGAGGACAAACTAAGCTCGGAACTGGAGGAGGGCGAGTTCTCGGCTACCAGTAAAAACGCCGATGTGTCAGCTCATAAGACACCATCCGTTACAGAAGCCCAAAAAGAGCCACCAATGTCCGTCTCTGTATCTAACGAGCCATATGAAGAGTGTGACATTATGATGTCAGATCACTCGGACATTGAGGGAGATGTGCTTGACAAGACCTCAGAAGAAAGGGGAGCTGAAGAAGAGTGCAAAATGGACGAGGATGATGATTCAGATAAGACTTCAAAAAACGAGGAGCGCCCCCTGTGTGACGTGGACAGAGGTGGAACGACTGATCTGAAGAACGCCAACTTGCCAGACATACTGAGTAGCCTGAAGAAGAGGCCACTGCATACAATGGACGACTTGAAGATCAACCTGAAAAGCACCGGTCATTTTTTAGAGCTGACTGGGGACGATGTCGGTGAAAATCGTCCCCATTCTCCACGCGTGGCTACTGCGCTGCTGCAAAACAACGCCATTTCACCCAATCTCTCATTCTCATCAACCTCTCTTGACTTGGCAGGATTGAAACATACGGCGAACAAACTCAAAGATGATTTTCCGCTATCGCAAGAAGACTTTGCGTTCAATCCATGTGAAAGTCCAACCAGAGCACTGGATGTGTTTCTTAGCCAAGCTAGAGCCAAAGCCTCAACCTCATCTGCCGCTGCTACTGCGATAGGTGTTGATAAGAAAAGTGGAAACGAACAAGTGAGTCTGATCGCCACTTCCTCAATACCTTCGCTGCCAAGTATGGATTGCAGAGAGAAAGAGGGAGAAGAGCAACACGAGACAGATGAAGACGAAGAGGAAGAGGAGGGAGAGGGAGAAAATGAGGAGGCGATTGGGATAAAAATGAGTGCGATGGAGAATGAACTCCAACTAGAGGACATAAGCTCCCCGGAGCAGTCGTTCAGCGACACAGATACCAATTCTCAGTCTCGTCAACTAGCTCAGCTTCCAAAGCGTCAGCAGCATAAACCGGTTAGTAGCTCCACTGTTAGCTGCCATTTTTTGTTTGAAATTTAATGAATGGATTGAGTATTCAGTTCTCTGAACACCAATGGCAATGTTGGTTTTTCCATGAAGTATTTAAAACGGTCAGCTATTTTAGGAGTTGCTGAGACTTTCGATGGGCGATAGTGTCACCAAACTTGAGAAGTTGGAAGTGAGCATCAGTATAAGTAACCAGATCAACGAGCAGCAAAGTCCACCGAAGGCGAATCGTGACGAAGCGAAACCTCGGATATCCGTTATCACACCATCAGTAGTGTCTCCAATAGCCCAGTTGTTTGTCGCAAAATCTCCAGATACATTGCCAGCACAAAGTGCTTCCACGGTCATGGGTCGCCAAATCAGCTCAAATGGAGAAAACATGAACCCACCTCTGCCCCCATTACCACAACCCGTAGTCATTCCAACAGTGTCGGTGTTCGCTCAACCGACGACACCAACGCTCGATAGTCCGATAAAACCGGCAACTCCTTCTCGGAAGGAACTTAGCTCTATGCCGCCAGCATGGCCTCAATTGGAATACAATCAGAAATCGCCTACAGCAAAGCCTAGTATAATGAGCGATCGTAAAGGCTCAACTGAGCATCAAGTTGTGCATCAAAAAAGAAGTGCTCATGGCCCCAAAGTAATCCCCTTGGAACCTCTACCGGGAGCTCACCCAGTTGATCCAAGGATTGATATTCCGAGTGGACTGGTCGAAACCTCATTAAAGACAGTCACGTATCAGAAAGTCATACCAAAGTCGCCAAGAGGAGACTCTGGCGGCAGTGGCTCGCTTCCAATTACGGAGAGTCAGAGCATCATTGAGGACTGGAAAAGACGTGGGATTGTAAAACCAAAATTCCCGAAAGGCGAACCAGATGAACAGTCAGGGAGCAATTCGAATCCTGCGAACCTGCAGCGTGTAAATGAATTGTTGAATAAGTTCAATGTCACATCTATATTTGATCAGGACTCACAGCGCTTGTCTGTTTTGGATCCAGATAGGAAGGCTGTAAGTAGCGCTGTCTCACCTGCAAGTATCGCTTCCCAGAGGTCCTACGATTTCACATACCCTTCGCCCACAGCATGGGGAAATACTTCGCCTCACGTAGTCCCGCCTGCGTCGAGTGTGCTAAATATTGAAATACCAAGCCCGAGTTCAATTGTGAAAAAGGAGCCGTTGCATGGAATATTGAAGTCTCCAGGCTCAATATCGTCATTGAAATCGGATGAACAAAAAGGAAAATCGAAAGAGGCGCCACCTCCATTCCCAAGTCTGCACGTGAATGTTGGAGCAGTTGCCGCATCGGCACCTAACTCGTTGTGTGAAACTGTTGCGAAGACAGAATCTATTCGCGTGTCAGACAAATACCAACGGAAGCCAGCTGCGGCTGCCTCGAAGCTGACTAAGTTAACGATAAAAACGGAAGACTTTTCGGGAGGACTAGGGAACATTGCCTCCTCCATCCCTTCGCCGGTTAGCTCAGTTTCTAGCAATAGCAGCAGTTGCAATGCTGGAAATGAGTTGAAATCTCCTGCGACTGTTATGACCAAAGTCACGGTGGCTAGTGCTCCCGTAACGCCATTTGCATCGCTGAAAGAACAAGAGCATGCCATAAACAGACCAGTTCTTAGAGATACTGCAGGCAATCAAAGTTCATTAGAAAATACAAGTGAGACAGCTTACGATTTAAATGTCTCCATCGTTAGAAATGAAAGCGAAAGTGACACATCAAATGCTTGTCCAAATACTAAACGTTCGAATAGCATAATTGAACCACTAAGTAAAAGCAATAGTGGTGGTAAGATTTACGCCGAAGAGAAGGATGAAGAACGGTTAATAGTGGACAACAGCCTAAGTTCTACCCAAATCAAAATTGAACCCGAAATATTTAACTCTGTTAATGAGATTGAGAAAGCGAACACTGTAGAGACTACTGTAATAACTAGCAGTAGTAGTGTGGAGAGTGTTTGCACTAATAGAGATCACTCAGATAATGAACAGTCTTCAAAAGTGGAGCAAACTACAGCAAGCAATACAATTAATCTACCAGATGATTCTGTCACCACCAATTCAACGCAGCTTCAGCCCTACATTGACGAACAACCAACAAACCCAAAGGCATCTGATGGCATTACCACAATTGTAACTGCATCTTTGCCTGAAACTAACAATGATGACATTTCGCTCCTAGCTGGTATCAAGATTTCAGCTGCCAAGGATATTGCCGTGAAATCTGAAAATATCGCACAAGTTGAGCAGTATCAAACCGCAACCAAAGAAAAAACGCCTGGAGCTTCTGTGGAAATGCTGAACTCCGCAACTAGCAAGACGACAATCAGTGTCAGTGAAAAGAAGGTGTTCGATAAACTGGCAAGTTTTCATGCTCCTATACCGGAGAAGCCTCGTAGATCTTCTGCTCTTGTTGCGCCCACTAATTGCGAAAAAATCGTGAAGAAAGAGAAGAAATTTAGCTTCTCAGCTAAGCAATCAGAAGTTGTTGGGATCTCCAATCAGCAGCTTTCAAAGAAAAATATTTCGTCTATCAAAGAAAGTCCTTCCAAATGTGCGGACGTAGATATATTTAACAGTTCATCCAAACCGAAGTCCTCAAAGCATAAAGGCTACAAGAAACACTCTCTCGATCATGCTTCAAATGCTCAACAGCAGGTTCAGAATGAAAGAAAGATAAGTGATAAAATGGAGCCTACTTTGGATCGAGGTGAGGAGTCTTCGGAAAATGAAGCCGAAAAGCAGACACTCGAGAAGCTGATGAGTGGGAACCAAACGCAAAATAAAACTACAGCCCAAGCGCAGACTGCGGTAGCTGTCAAAGAAAATGATCAAGCTAAGCAGAACAAAACATCAAATGTTAGCATAGACAGCAATTTAACCAAATCTGGCACAAAGGTTCTCCCAAATATAAGTACGGGCGACAACACTGTTAATGCAGTTCAGAAAGTGACTGGCAAACATCACAAGAAGCATAAAAAAGATAAAGAAGGAAAAAGTGTGAACAGAATAGAGAATGCCGAAGATATGAAAAGCATGAAACAGTTTTTAATGCAGGATGTGAACAAAACTGAAAAAGCAAATTCAGAAAAAAATATTTCAACGCACGAGAAAATGTTACATGTTAAGAAAACGAGTAAAATATGCGCTAGCGACGACCTTCCGAATGCATCTGAGAAGAAAGAAACAAAAAAGGAGCAAGTTTCGCCCTCTGTTTGCAAAGAGAAGGAACTTTTGGAGGTGGAAACAGTTTCTCTCGTGTCACAGACTATTCTTGAACCATTGAAGGTTGAAGTTGAAGAGTCTGTATTAAACAAATCTGAGCAATCTGTTTTGACATCGCTGAAAAGTCATCCTGAGCTTACGGATTATGACACACCTATTCCGGATTACGCAAAATCTAAATCAGCTCCAGTATCGATCGAGAAAGGTGGACACTCTCCTTCAACCCCCAACAGCAGTATGCATAAAAAGAAGCGACCTTACGTTGAAATTGTTGTTGACGAAACTGACGAGCAGGAAAACATCGACTATGTACAGCATCAACTTAGCCGCCCGGATGGAATTGAAATTTGCATCAAGAAGGTTAAACCTGAGCAACTTCCGTTTTCCAATGACGAAGAAGAACATTTTCCAACTCCAGTCAAGAAAGCCAAATTTTCACCTAAGAAACATTCGGTAGATTCAAAAAGGAAAGAAGACGAGAACGTATCATCGCCGATAAAGAAGTCTTCGCCGAAGAGTGCACGAAGTCCTATTTCAGACGATGGTAAAAGTACCGAAGCTGCAAGCGAACGCTCGGCAACTCCGAAATCAGTCGCGAGTTGCACCTCGACCACCGCTGCCGTGTGCAAGGAGTCAGACAGTGAAGAAACTTTGGACGAATTAATCATCGAAGAGTATAGTACATGCTCTAAGCTGTCTCAGTCCGAAACGGAGAAAGAAGCAGACAGCGATAAAGAAAGTGAGTTGAACATAGAATGTGACACATCAGTCTGCGAGTATCAGGAGATCCCGAATGACGAAACATGCGAGAGTCTTGAAGATACTCTGGGCACCTCCTTCAGTACTGACGAAGCCATCGAACCTGATTACAGGGGAAATTTGGAAGTGAATGAAGCTGATATAGATCTGCAAGAGCAAGTCTATTCTGCTGATTGTGAGAAGAACATCAAAGGAAATGATGAATGCGCTACTGTGGAATATTCCTTAGAATCCGCTCCCAGTGGAAACAATTTGAATGCCTTGCAAGCGGAAGACAAAACTTCTACCGCAGAACCAAAGGGAGAAAATGATTGGATAAACATAAACGGAGAAAATTTCCATCGAATGCAAGAGACAAGCTCTGCTAAAAATGGATCTGTCATTCAGCTGGCTGAGACAATCCTCGGAGTAATAGAGTCAAATCTACCATCACAAGAGTCGCTCAGCTCCCGTCATATAGAAAGTCACCAGCCTCAAATTTCTACGTTTGCTCAAAACCCTCTGTCGGCGTACATGGCACAGAACACAACACAATTTGGACAGCAGAGCAGTGTGAGCGATAATCGCCAGGATAAAATGTTCGAATTCTTGGCTGGGCTCTCCACCACCAGTGCAATTACCAACTACTCTGCTATGAGCAGTTCACCAATTCGGCCTCCTGAAAGTTTTAAAGAACCCAAACCGAATATAGCTTCCAGGTTGGATGTGGATTTTACTGAACCAGAAACTACCGAAGACAATGCTACTGATGATACGGAACCAGATCAAAGTATAATCGAGACGTACAAGAGAGTCGAAACAGCGGCACTAGTTGTTGATTCTAACGTAGAGTTTATGCAACAAAATGTTAAGCCATCCGTAGGCCTTGCATCGACCGCGAGCAGCTGTGAGTCCACCGAAGCCGAGTCCAGTATGCACACAGAAAGTAGTGTCAAATCGGAGCTACTCAATGATGTATCAACTAGTGTGCACCAGTTCTCACCAGACGAGACGGAAGCTGACGATGAAGAAACAAAACCAGTGGCGAAGGGACCAACAAGAGGATACAGACGGAGAAAGTCAAAGAGAACTAGATTTTCTAGGCCACCTAGGAAACAAGCTCAGGTGCCTAAAGTAAAAAGTGAAAACGCTGTATCAGACGCAGAATCAGTGGAAACAGCGCAAGTTGAAAGTACAGTGCCAGGAGGACCTGCTATTGACTACCGTTCTTGTCGGAATGAAGAAACTGACGCATTTGTTGAAAAAGTATCTCGCAATGAAATTCCGACTGATCTTCCTCCGCTGCCTGCAAGATTCAACTCCAGTGCGAGTTCTAGCTCCGGCACCTCACTTCCCGAAACACCGACACCTACATCGCCAATTGTAGCGACCATGCATCCAAAGGAGAGGTTGAAAAAACAGTTCAGAGCTTTCATGGCGGCTGAGCACAGTAACAAGTTGGCGAACCTTGGAACGCCAACCACACCAGCATCAGAAGTATCTCTGAGTGCAAGAACAGCCATTAGCGGAAGCAGCAGCAGTCTGCCAAGCTCTGCTAATCTCAATTCAAATATAAAAAGCGAGCAGCTTACAGTGCAGTCACCGATGATATTCTCGTTCAACGAGCCATCACCTCGGATGCATTCACAGCCCAAGGTGAAATCTGAACTAGCATCGCCTGTGTTTGAAAGGACGACTTTTCCTTCCACCATTTCACAGGAGCCTGTTCAGTCAGCCGCGACTATCATTAAACGGGTTGCCGCGCCCAGTAGTGATCCACTGAGGATGCTTGCTCCTACTCACCGAACTGTACCTACAATTTCGCAAGAACTCAGCTTGGAACGGGACAAACGTCGAAACGAATTGAAACAATTAACATCCTTGAGTGATGCAGAAATCGACAATGTCGAGGCCTGCATTGAGTCAGTTCTACAGGATAACAGTATTCTGGTGAAGCGCTTTAGATGTACGGCTGATATTGAACCCAACTGGATTGACCCAGAGGTCCGTGAAAGTGCGGAACTGTTAGAGAGTAGTATCGAGGAATTGACAAATTTCAGACTCTTCCAACGAAGCCGCAAGCGAAATAACGCAGGAGTGCCTGCAGCTCCTGGAAGTAGTATTCTGAACAGGCAGTTCTACTCGTCCAGTATATCGGGTTCAGATTTGCGTGAGCATCGGGCCGTTCCATTGGATAATAGATCGGCTACTCCTTCAAGCTTAGGGTTCCAACTGAGCAACCCTGCGATGTCAACTGCAGAAGCGGCTTCAAATGCAATTCAATCATCGATAGACAGTGTCATTCTCAGACACTCTGAAGTCGGTGGTACAGGTCGCAAGTACTCTGGCCACATCGAGGACATACAACCTGGAGGGCACCCATCTCCCGACATTGTGCAGAATCCCACTACAAAAGGATACGCGAAACATTTGCTTTCGATGTCTAGTTTATCCTCTGGAGACCACGTTAGCAATGCAAAGGAGCCCCGACTTTCCAACTCAGTGTCAAATTACTCTTCTACTTCGAACTCATCCGGACGCATTGCATCACCAACAGCGGCTGTGACTCCCAACTATCAACACAGTAGTGCGGTAGGAAATGCTTTTTCGCCCAAAAGCCTTATCGGGATGCCGCTTCCATTCGATTCCGCAAATCCGCTTCTGCAGAACTTGCACAATAATGCTGCATTTGCTGCCGCAGCAGCATCCAATAATTCCTTACTTCGTTCAGCTGAGGCGTTTAGAATTGAACATTCAGCGGCTAATTCCTTATTGGGAGCAGCAACAAGTTCAGCGAATGCCAGCAGTTCAAGTAGTGGAGCGGGAAATGGAGGAGGAGACATGCATATCAACATCAATTTGATGGCCCATTACCCGGCCTACCATCCAGACATTCTTCCAGCCTTGTATGGAAATCCAAGCCAGTCTGCTCCAACAAGGCTGGTTACATTACAGATACCCTCGACTCCTGTCGATCCTTCGATCGGCATCGAGTCGCACGTGTTTGTCGCCAGAACCAGTAACCTCTACACAATGTTCAATGTGAGCATAATTCATTCATTTTCACTAGTGTCGACTATTTTCCTGCCTTGAATTTGTTGCTGCAATTGCAATGCACTTAATTCGAGTAGTCAACTTAAGTGTGGTCTTGTTTCAATTGTTTCAAATCTTATGCGCGTTTTGGTTTTAGAAGTTGCAGAATATCTGGGAGGGCACAGTAGAACTTAAGAACTCTCAGGCTCAGATGAACTTGAGGTTTCTGGGTGGAAACGTGGCTTTAGCCGTTGGTGCTCTGCATACGACAACTCTCAATATCAATCAACGAATGACACTGGAAGAACAAGAATTGGAAGGACTTACCAGAAACCTACTGGTATTGTACTATTCGTTTGTTTTGTTTTTTTTTCACTCTTATTTCAAATATGCAGCCCAATTTAATAGCAATTATCGGGCTCCAAAAACGGGATAATTGAATATTATGAAGTTAATGAGATGAAGGAATGCGAAATGTTTAGAACGAAGGGGACTACTGCGTGATGCTTGGTCTTCCACACGGCCCTGATCCGACGCAAATTTACACGTCCAATAAAGTGCTGCACTTGGAAGTTGCCAAATACCTGCAACATAAAGAAGCCGCAGGCATTATCAACATCCCGCACAAGTACATGGACCGAGAGGCGAGTTATTTTCCTTAATTAAGCACATCTGCTGATAAATTGCATTGCTAATCAATTGCATTATGCTCAATAAGTGCGGTTTGTTTAACAAAATTATCTTAAGGGAGCTGAATATAAATAAATAATCTGTTTTTATAGACACTGTCAGTGTTGCACATATTCCCACCCTGTGAGTTTGCCCGCAAGTACCTGATGAAGTTGGACCTGTTCCTGCACCTGAACACATCTCCCAGCTCATACCTGCTGTTCATCCTCACTTCAGCTGACGTGGCCGCCAGAAGCTCCAACTCCCAAGATAGATAGCCCATTGTGATCCCCATAAACCCCACCAGAGCAATGGTAACTAAACAGTCGACCGGTGATTTCGACCAAGTAAACGACGTTTAGAAAAAACTTGAAAAGGAGAGGAAGAGAACGCGGAAACTGAAATTAGTTGAACTGATATGCTTTTAGTTGTTGACGTAGACTATTAATAATATGATATATTGGATCGGTGTTGCAAACCTGAAAGTAATTTGCAATATTTTCTAACCTGATGATATTTGTTGTTGTACCTTTTGAAATGTTTCAATTTCCACTTTTATTATTAACGCAATATATTTCATCTATACAAAAAAATTCTGTTGCAAATAAATTTTTGCTACGAAATAACAGCTAGCTAGCGTCGCACAAAAGATTTCCATTAACCAAGTTTCTGGTTTTTTAACTTGAAAAATTTGCTCTTTTTCAGTCCCCTTTCTTTTGAATTTTCTGAATTTCAATTTACGAAAGCCTATTTAAATTGATTTTTGATGTATCAGTCGACCAGGTTTGCCATGAATGTTCCGACAACCTGCTAAGGTCTTTGGGATAATGCTCGCTTTAAAAATAAATGATAATTTCAATAAACGTTTTTTCTTGGAAATTGATCTCTAACGCTATAAAAACAGTGATATTTTTTATCTGATACGATTACACTTGCGATTAGCAAGCGTTCGCTAAGCGGAATCTATACTTTTTTCGCGTTGACAACTAGTTCAACAAAGTCACTGAATCATTTGTGCAGCATTCAATTCTTCTGCAGCAAACCTGCAAAATTTGACAATTCAAATTTACTACTTGGTACTTAGTAGACGGCTAATATGATCCTTTTTTACCTTTCTTGTGGTGTATGATATTTTTGTAATTGAATTTGTTTTTTGATTCATTGATGTAATTTGTAATTTTTACACATGCAAGTTTCTCGAGATCGGGACCTAGACTTTTTTCCCGGAAACAACTTTTCTTACAGTTGTAATTGAACAGGATGTTGCTTTATAATCAAATCAAAGCAACTTCGAGCTCATCGCAATTGGTCAGGAGGTGTTGCAGTTGCCTTTGAAACCTTATGTCAAGAGTTCGAGTCCCGGCCGGACTTTTTCAGTGTCTGAAATTGAATTTTTTTTCGGGAAAAGTTTATTAGACGGTTTTTCAGTTTAAGTTTTATCGGCTTATTTGCCACCCCCACATATTTTGTGCTGCAATCAGTTTACATTTTAGTCCATATGTCGTTGATTAACTCCATTAACTTTCGTCGTTTTCTAAAGTTTTTTTTTCAACTTTTTTTTTAGCTTAGAAGTTTTATTCGACCTAAATTATTTCGGATCTTGTTTTGCTGGCTTAGTGAACTAATTTTGCATCGGTATGAGCTTTGAAAAAGTTTGTGTATGTTTTTAATAAATTTGGTCGGGTGGTAGTATAAAAGTTTAAAAATCAACCTTTTTAATAGCTCCAAATTTTTTTATGATAATTTCTTTAGTCGAGAATTTCCTTAGACAAGACTTTCCTTTGATGTCGGCTTAGTAAACGCTTGAAAAATACTAAGAGGTTGTTAACTTCTGGTGGCTGCGTTTCTTGTCTGTTTTTTTGAGATTGAAGTTGCGTATTTTTTCTTTTCCAATCACTTGGCGTCTTATCACGTGTTTTTGGCTTAGTGGTCGTTCGTAAAACACTAAAAACTTGCTTAATCCTGGTGTTAGTGTTTCTCGTCTGTTTTTCTGTGATTGAATTTTTCGTTATTTCTATCTCAAAGACCATCTAGTAGCTTACACTGCATCACTCCGCGTTGCTTCTGTGTTAGAAATATTATCATTTTGTTTAAGCTGATGCCAGGGTATGAGCGTTTTGAGGAGAAAAAATTTTAATTTCTATTTTTCGCCGCACGTGAGCGTCACTTTTTTTCGATGTAATAACGATTGGTTTTACAACCTTGAGTATGAATACAAAAAGTTTGGAAAAGTTCATTTAGACCGTATGCCGAATTGTATAAAAATCGAGGGTCGTAGGATTAAGGAAGCGAGCCAAAATTTAGCATCATCCATGCGATAACTGCAAAAAAACCTTTGTCTAGAAATGTGACCTATTTTTCAAATTTATATATGCAAACTGATATATGATCATTTTTTGTATGCAACTGTGTAATAATCTGACACTCGCTTCCATTGAGCAGACGGCCATAATTGATCTTTTTAATTTTTGTTTCTTGTTTCGACTTCCTTTTGCCAAAAATTTGATTTTACAGTTTGTCTGAGGCGAAGCGGAACATCGCACAACTTCCGATACAAAAATGAATGACTATGTTTGCCAGCAAATGAAAAGAAAAATCAAACATTGAAAAAAAAGCGTTCAAATTAATCGTTCTTTTTGCTGAAAAGACTAATAAAAATTCCAAAGTTCCTGTAACAAAAATACCGGAAACAATAAAAGCTTTACAAAGAGCTTTAAAATTTCAAATTGATAAAATCGAAACTGGGATTTTTTCTTTGGGAGCTAAGGTCGCAAAATAAGCGGACACGAAAATCTGAAGTATTCAAAGTTTTCTGGGATTTATTGTCTCAAGCATGTATGTTACCAAATGCTCAGAACACTACTCGAATTTAGTTCCCAAAGAGCGGTGTACGCTGAAATAATTTTTAAATTGAGTAAAATGCCCAAGTCAACGCGGCAAACAAACAAAAATCCGATAAAAAGTTCTGACACGCTGACAATTTTCCGCTTACAAAAAAAATTTGATTCTGGCAGGGTTCAAACCAATGACTTTTGTCTCTATAGGCAGGAGCGTTAGGCAGATTCAAGTGATTCTGCGAATCGAATTATTGTTTCATAAAAAGTCTTTATTCCGGTTTGATAACACTTGTTAATTGCCAGAGTAAACAACTGCTCTTATCAGCGCGATGATCTAAACCTTACCCCTGAACCTTACCCCGTATGCTTACCCCTGAACCTTACCCATATGTTTACACCTGAACGCTTATCGCTGAACCTTACCCCGTATGCTTACCCCTGAATTACCCATATGTTTACACCTGAACGCTTATCGCTGAACCTTACCCCGTATGCATACCTTACCTGAAACTTACCCGTATGCTTACACTTGAACGCTTACCCCTGAACCTTACCCCGTATGCTTACCCCAGCACCTTATCCGTTTGCTTACACCTGAACGCTTAACCCTGAACCTTACCCCGTATGCTTACCCCTGAGCCTTACCCGTTTGCTTACACCTGAACGCTTACCCCTGAACCTTACCCCGCATGCTTACCTCTGAACCTTACGCGTATGCTTAGACATGAACGCTTACCCCTGAACCTTACCCCGTATACTTACCCCTGAACCTTACCCCGTATACTTACCCCTGAACCTTACCCCGTATGCTTACCCCTGAACCTTAACCGTTTGCTTACACCTGAAACTTACCCGTATGCTTACACTTGAACGCTTACCCCTGAACCTTACCCCGTATGCTTACCCCAGCACCTTATCCGTTTGCTTACACCTGAACGCTTACCCCTGAACCTTACCCCGCATGCTTACCTCTGAACCTTACGCGTATGCTTAGACATGAACGCTTACCCCTGAACCTTACCCATATACTTACCCCTGAACCTTACCCCGTATACTTACCCCTGAACCTTACCCCGTATGCTTACCCCTGAACCTTAACCGTTTGCTTACACCTGAACGCTTAACCCTGAACCTTACCCCTGAGCATTACCCGTTTGCTTACACCTGAACGCTTACCCCTGAACCTTACCCCGCATGCTTACCTCTGAACCTTACCCGTATGCTTACAACTGAACGCTTACCCCTGGACCTTACCCCGTATGCTTACCTCTAAACCTTACGCGTATGCTTAGACATGAACGCTTACCCCTGAAGCTTACCCCGTATGCTTACCCCTGAACCTTACCCCGTATGCTTTTACCTGAACCTTACCCCGTATGCTTACCCCTGAACCTTACCCCGTATGCTTACCCCTGAACCTTCCGCGTATGCTTACACCTGAACGCTTATCGCTGAACCTTACCCCGTATGCTTACCCCTGAAACTTACCCGTATGCTTACACTTGAACGCTTACCCCTGAACCTTACCCCGTATGCTTACCCCAGCACCTTATCCGTTTGCTTACACCTGAACGCTTAACCCTGAACCTTACCCCGTATGCTTACCCCTGAGCCTTACCCGTTTGCTTACACCTGAACGCTTACCCCTGAACCTTACCCCGCATGCTTACCTCTGAACCTTACGCGTATGCTTAGACATGAACGCTTACCCCTGAACCTTACCCCGTATACTTACCCCTGAACCTTACCCCGTATACTTACCCCTGAACCTTACCCCGTATGCTTACCCCTGAACCTTAACCGTTTGCTTACACCTGAAACTTACCCGTATGCTTACACTTGAACGCTTACCCCTGAACCTTACCCCGTATGCTTACCCCAGCACCTTATCCGTTTGCTTACACCTGAACGCTTAACCCTGAACCTTACCCCGTATGCTTACCCCTGAGCCTTACCCGTTTGCTTACACCTGAACGCTTACCCCTGAACCTTACCCCGCATGCTTACCTCTGAACCTTACGCGTATGCTTAGACATGAACGCTTACCCCTGAACCTTACCCATATACTTACCCCTGAACCTTACCCCGTATACTTACCCCTGAACCTTACCCCGTATGCTTACCCCTGAACCTTAACCGTTTGCTTACACCTGAACGCTTAACCCTGAACCTTACCCCTGAGCATTACCCGTTTGCTTACACCTGAACGCTTACCCCTGAACCTTACCCCGCATGCTTACCTCTGAACCTTACCCGTATGCTTACAACTGAACGCTTACCCCTGGACCTTACCCCGTATGCTTACCTCTAAACCTTACGCGTATGCTTAGACATGAACGCTTACCCCTGAAGCTTACCCCGTATGCTTACCCCTGAACCTTACCCCGTATGCTTTTACCTGAACCTTACCCCGTATGCTTACCCCTGAACCTTACCCCGTATGCTTACCCCTGAACCTTCCGCGTATGCTTACACCTGAACGCTTACGCCTGAACCTTACCCCGTATGCTTACCCCTGAACCTTACCCGTATGCTTACGCCTGAACTTTACCCAGTATATTTACACCTGAACGCTTTTACGCGTATGGTCAACCCTGAACGCTTACCCCTGAACCTTACCCCGTATGCTTACCCCTGAACTTTACCCGTACGCTTACACCTGAACGCTTACCCCTGAACTTTACCCCGTATGCTTACCCCTGAACCTTACCCCGTATGCTTGCCCCTGAACCTTACCCCGTATGCTTACACCTAAACGCTTTTACCCGTATGCTTACACC